TAACTGCAATAATCTGGTGCCCCCAAACCATCACAGAATAATCCCTTTCGGTAAATATTAAAAGGAACGCAACAGTACCCCTTTGAATAGGAATAATACTTTAGTACTGGAAATATAGTGAAACTAAATCTATGACAATTAAATTTACCCTATCAATTTCTTTTGGTCTCTTCTGTACGTGCGAATATCTTCCAAGAATCGAGATACACTCAGAAATTCACTCTTATACGTTATTTTACATTGATCACATCTTAAATAAGAATCATTTGTGCGCATGATCTTTACGTAATATCTCTTAAGATTATTTAATATCGATATGGTAGTATCGAATTATTAGTTCAGCATCTAGAGAATCAAATAAATATTTAAACTTACGGTGAAATTTGATTAACTTTGTTGCATAGCGAACACTTAAAATCAAACGGAGAATAATCGTTTTGTTCGAGAACCCAAGGTTTTTTGTGCATTCTTGCCAAATCTGTTGTGAATATTCGTCAAGATGTCCTGAATTTTCGTTCTCAAATCTCATGCTACAAGTGCAAATGTTCAATTAATTCTTTCAGAGTTTAAACATGACATCGAGTGTATTAATTAAATAATACTACTTGCCAATTTTGCTAACGGGAAATTATAATTGTGTTCTTGAGGATTATGAAGACGTAACATATCTTCGTAATAGCGTAATGGCGAAAGACAATGAGCGTACCATATTAAACAAACATCTTTTATTGTTTCATAGAAAATGTAAATAACGTCAACTGAGATTTTTTAAAAAAAAATGATTTATCCCAATTACCCAATGGAGGAATAAGCATTTTTTCTTCAGGAAAATTTTTAAAATTTAAAGTTTATCCATGAGAGATATCGTTGTTCAGCTCGCAATAAATACCAGTCATCCATCACTTCATCAGATTGCTCCATTCCTTTAAATTTCGTGAGCAAGGCTAAATGTGCATGTAACATTTCAGGATTTATTACTCCATCAATATTCAGTGATGTTTTAAATTGCTGTTGTTGCTTGCCATCACCGTCGTAAGAAGGAGGACTAGGCTTTTTTTCGAGTTTAGTGATTTCAGACGACCCCCATCTAACGTTCTTGAAGACGCCATGTTTATTTTGCTATAAAGGAAAAATCATTATATACATGTTTACAAATTGAAAATTACGATGAATTATCGTTACGCGCGCATCGATGAGGAATTAATGACCTTTATTTCTTTACTAAACAAGGAAACTTGTGGTTTCTTCTATCGCTATGTTCTTTTTTCGTACGTATTAAAAGTAGTAGTACAACTTAGCGCTCATTATCGTTATCGTTATCGTTATCGGTAATTACATGTATTAACCGTAACAGTCTTTTTCGATATTATTTCGCTGAAAATAATTTCACTTGAATAAAGTGAAAGAGATAGCATAGCGAAAATATGTAATCAAACTTTAAAATACATGTATTTAGTTTTCATTAACGTTAATTATTTAAATTTAGATTGCAAGAAAATGTATTTTTTTGAGAAACAAATTTTTACCTTTGTCTGGAATACACAAACCGAAAAAAATACCTGTTGGAATGGATATTGATTTTGAAGTAAACATTCCACTGGTGTAAACTGCATTTGAGTGGATTAGTTTTGTTCGTATTTATAAGAACGCTTTTTTGCCATTTCTCCACCAAATTCAGGTAATTTCTGCTTTTCTAATTTAAGGCACTCTTCAATTTCTTCGCGTGTTTTAGGATATTCTAAAGTACTGAAAAAGCAAAGTACGTATTCAGTTGCCACTCATCGATATCGAGGATAGACGTACAATTGAAAAACATTATTTGGTAACTCCATGAACTCATTCACCAAATGCTCATTCATTTGTTACAAGCTCGTACATAATCATTCTAAGAAGCAAATACAAAATTTAATCCGTGAATATGCTCAGAAAGAGACTATCACGGATTTACTTCTTAGATGAAAAGTATATATATATATATATTATAAAAGACAAATGTTTGATGACTTTAGATGTTATGCACGTATATTTAAATATATCAAATATCCGGAGCCTATCGCTATTACGTGTCAGATTGTAAATTCTTACGTACTGTATTTTGTTACTCCTCACACATATGCTATGCGCTTATGATCGGATGAAAATACTTTAAGTCTTGCGAAATTATTTAATTCAATTTCATCTCAATTCTGAATTGCAAATTTGGCATGGGCAAGTAAAAATTATACAAATTAAATTTATAAAAAACAATTTATTTTTATAGAGTATCCCGCCTGACAATACTTACAATTTTGTTATCCCTTCGAATGTGCATTTAACATACACGTACTACAACAATAACGGATATAACGAACTAGCGGTTCTATTAAAAAAATTTTGGAAAAGCTCGCTATATCAAAATAAATAAGTTCGGATGCAGGTTAAAACCTTCTTTATTGTAGTGCTGCATTGATTTGATTATAATAATTCGTTAAAGAGGGGTTTTTCGCAACGTGATGAATGCTAGACTAGATTATTTACGAGCAAAAGGTCTCTTTGGTCGTTCTAAAGGTTTCCTGTGACGACTTTGTACGCAAATCGACGTTAAAAGGTAAGAGGCGTTTGCAAATAATAATAAAATAAAAGAAAATAAGAAAACAAATAATTCAAAATCAAATTAACAATTCTAACACAATAGGACTTATTGATACGGCCTATTCAAGCAAACAAAATCAAAAATAAAAGC